TTTGTTTATACTCCCAAAAAAACAGCTTTTTTCCACTGATTTTTTTTTGTGTGTACACTTCTTTTATTATCTATTTCATTTATTTCAGCCCTAACCTTTATTCTTTTCTTTTGGTATTATTTCTAGGATTTTTTTCATTGTTGCTTTTCTAGGTTAAGATGTGTTGTGACATCATTTATTTGCCACATTAGTATTTTTTTCTTCTGAGTAATAATAGATATGAAATTCCTTCTTAGGACTGCTTTTGCTGATTCCAAAGATAAGAGTCACGTATTCATTATCATTTTTTTCAATAAATCTTTTGATTTCAGTGTTAATTTCTTCAGCAGTTTTGAGGCAATTAAAAAGTAGGCTGGGGGCCAGCATTAAGACAAAGGACTCCCACATGGCCGACTGTAGTTTGAATTCTGGACCTCGCAGCTTGAAAGTCACGCCAGGTACATGTGCATGAGTAGCCCAAATTCCCGAAAGGTGAAGAGAGAAGGGACTGCGGCATGGCCATCCACCCTCAGGGGTGATTTGTCACTTTACTTCTCTCTGTATCTCTCTCTCTCCTCTCAAGTACACTGCCATATGACAAAAACCTTAAAAAAAAAAAAAAGAGTGGGTTGTTTAGTTTCCATGTTTTTGTGTATTTTTGAGGGCTTTGTATTGCTGACTTCAAGTTTAATTCCATTGCATTGTGGCTGGAGAAGATGCTGGATAGTTTCTATACTTTCAAATTTGTAGAAGCTTGTTATGTGCTCTATTATACGGTTAATCTTTGAAAATGTTTCATGCGAGGTAGGAAAAAGTGTACATTCTAGTAGCTAGGTGAAATGTTCTATAAATGTAAGGTCCATTTGGTTTATGGTATTAGTTAGCTTGTGTTTCTTTTTGTCTAGATGACCTGTCCAGTGGTGACAGCATTGTTTTAAAATCTCCAGCAATTAGTGTGTTGCAGTCTCTCTCTCTCTTTATATCTAGCAGTCTTTCATTTACATATTTAGATGTGTAAAAACTCATAATTGTCATGTTTTCTTGGTGAATTAATCCTTTTAGCACTGTAAAGTGTCATTCTGACTCTTTTCACCATTTTTATCTTGAAGTCTATTTTGTATGACATTAGTATTGCTACTCCAGTCCTTTGTTTTGGTTCGTGTGCATGAAATGATTTTTTTCTAGCCCTTCACTTCCTACCTACGTACCTCTTCAGATGTGAGATATATTTCTGAAAAGCAAGATATCAAGGATTCCTGTTTTTGTTTTGTTTTAATCATTCAGCCAATCTGTGTTTTTTAATTGGGGATATTTAATCCATTAAGATTCAATGTTATTATCATTAAGTATAGATTTATACCTTTCATTTTTTTTAGTTTATTGAGTTCTTTTATTTCTATTTCTCTCTTTATTTTCCTGATGTAGTATTTCTTTAGGTATTTCCTAAACAGCAGGTAATGTGTCTATAACGTCTTTCAGCTTCTGTTTATTCGAGAATGATTTTATTTCTCCTTTCCATTTGAAGGATAATCTTGCTGGATATGTTCTTAGCTTTCTTACTTTTTTTTTTCTTTCAGAGTTTTAAGTATGTTTTTCCATTACTTCCTTGTCTGTAGTGTTTCAGTTGAGAGGTCTGATGTTAGTCTAATGGGGTAAACTTTATAAGTAACTTGATGTTCCTTTCTTGCCATTTTATTTTATTTTTGGAGAGGTTTTTGCTATAGGGCGCGTGCACTCGCCAGACAGACAAAGAGACAGAAAACGAGAAATCACCCCCCGGGGGGATGGCCATGCCGCAATCCCTTCTCCTCCATTCTCCTCTCGGAATCTTGGACTCGCACGCACATGCGCCCGACATGAGTTTAAGCCACCAGGTCCGGGACTTGAACTGCGGTCAGCTACATGGGAGTCCAGCGACATAGCCATTACACTAACTGTTGGTCCCGTTGCCATTTTATTTTTAAGAGAGATTTTTACTATAGGGCGTGTGTGCTCACTGGAGAGACGGAGAAAGTGAGAAATCACCTTCCCGCTCTACACCCCCACCCGGGGAGATGGTCCTGTGCAATCCCTTTTCCTCGCAGGAATTTGGGCATGCATGCACATGTGCCTGGTGCTGAGTTTTAAGTCACTAGGTCTAGGACTCAAATCGTGGTCAACTACATGGGATTCTTAATATGTTTAGGATATTCTTTGTCTTTGATTTTTACCAATTTGGCTATGATGTCCTTGGAGAGAATCTTTTATGTTGAATCTATCTGGTATTTCCTGAATCTGGATGTTGGTGCATCTCTTTAGATTTGGAAAATCTTGAGATAATAGATTATGAAAAAGATTTTCTATACCTTTACCTGTCTCTTGACCTTCTGGAATACCCAGTAGTAGATATTTGGATTCTTACTGGTGCCTAAAATTTCTTGTATGTAGTCTTCATTTTTTTTGGGGGGGAGAGGTTTTTGCAATGGGGTGCATGCGCTCACCAGAAAGAAAGGGATGCTTTCTCCCAGGGGCAATGGCCATGCCGCAATCCCTTCTCCTCCATTCTCCTCTTGGGATCTTGGGCACACATGCACACGCATCCGACATGAGTTTAAGCCACCAGGTCTGGGACCTGAATCGCAGTTGACTACATGGGAGTCCAGCTACGTAGTCATTATGCCATCTGCTGGTCCCTGTAGTCTTCATTTTTAATGATTATTTTTCCATTCTTTTTGTTGGCTTAGATTAAATGAGAGGTTTTATCTTCAAGGTCATGATTCTTTCTTCCATGTGGTAACATTTGCTGTTAATACTTTTCTTTTTTAAGAATTATTTTATTTTATTTCATTTATTATCGTTATTATTATTATTATTATTATTTTAATTTGACCAGAGAAAGAGAGAGGGAGGGAAAGTAAAAAAGCAAGCCGCCAAGTCTGGGATACAAACTGTGGAGAGATATGTGGGAGTTCAGCACCTTAGTCACCATGCCACCTGCCAGCGCTACTGTTGATACTTAAAAGGGAGATTTTAATTTACAGTATTGTATTCTTAATCTCCAGAAGTTCTGTTTGATTCTTTTTCAGGTTGTCTATTTCTTCATAGAATTCCTTCTCACCTCTGGTATCAGCTGTTTTCTCTCATATCTCACTGAGTTTTGCTATGATAAATATTCTCAGTTTCCTGACAGACATTTCTGTGATTTCCTGTTTTATCTATTGCTGGTGCAAAGTTCCTTTTCAGCAGAGAGATATTTCCTGGTTTTCTCATATTTCTTAGGACTCCACTTTTATTTTTAGGCATTTGGTGAAGTACTCACTTCAAATTTTTTGAAATAGGTTTCTGGAACTGTATGCTCATGCACTTCCCTGTAGAGTGTGTTAGCTCTGTGCAAGTTATCATATTCTTTTGTGTGAGGGAGAACTGGAAACCATAGCAGGTGTTTTGGGGATTGGATTTTCAGAGGAAACTTTCTTTCCTGCTTATTGTCCAGAGTGGGAGTTGGGGGAGGATTCTTCCAGAGTCTCACTGTCTTCAGGGGGTTCTCTAACCAATCTCTCTGGTCTCAATGCAGCTGGGAGATGAGCTGGGGACATGGAGTGTAAGGTAGCAGCACAAATAGTGTATCATGCAGCAAGTCCCTTCCTTCCTTGCTCCTGCAGGGTGAGCCAGGGAGTAGGGGCTAATGATGCACAGGTTGGGAAGTAGCTCTTCCTTCCTTGCTCCTGCAAGATAGGCAGGGAGCAGGCAACGAGTGGGGAAGGGTGAGTGGGCAGCAAGTGGCACACAGCAAGTGGGATGCAGGCCAGGAGGCACCGCCTTCCTTCCTTGTTCTTGCAGAATGGGTGAGGGGCTGGGCAGCAAGTGTTGTAGGAGCCAAGAGGTTGCCCTGGACTAACCATTTTTAAGAAAGAATTCTGAAAAATTTCATCTGTTTTCTCCAATACATTTTATACAGGAGAAATAAATTTAAAAGTTTTCTCTTACAAAATACTTTAAATTATGCTGATCATTAAAGAAAAAAGTGTAAGTTTTGGAATTTAAGAATTGCCAACCATACATATATATGCTTAATATAACTTTTTATTTTATACACACACATGCACACACATACAATTTTTCCTGGAAACATTTTAATGCCAATTGGATAGTGCTTTTTTGCTCCTGAAATTGATCAACTTCTTATATAACTACTGTATTGTTTTAAATCAAAGAATTCAGTATCTAATCCACAGTCCATATTCAAACTTCATCAACTACATTTACATCATTTATAGCTACACTTACACTCCAGAATTTTTTTGCCATTCAGGATGTGTGTTTGTCAGAGAGACAAAAAATATAGACCGGGGAAAGGAAGAAAGCACCCTCTATAGGTGTGATCGCACTACAATCACTTCTCCATTACTCCATCCTCTTCTAATTTGGGGCATGAATACACACATGCATGGCAAGCATTTCAAACTGCAAACTGCTGGGACCAGGATTTAAACAGCAGTTAACCATGTGGGATCTAGCTCCTTTAACCAGTAGGCCACAGGGCTAACCTACTCTAGATTTTAATACAAGGTCAAACATATTTAGTTGCTATTTCTCCTCTTTTTCCTGAACTGTGGAACTGTTTTTCAATGCTTCTGTGATTGTGGTGTGGCCATCCCCCCGGCGGGTGATTTCTCACTTTCTGTCTCTCTGGCCAATGCATGTACCCTACAGCAAAAAATGTCTAAAATAAAAAAAAGGCTAAAATGCTCAAAAAAACATGATCTCTATTCAAAAGCCTTTAATTTTCTGGCAGATGGGGTTAAAAAGAAATGATCAAATATGGGACATGTTATATATAATTGTGTCATGTCACATATCCTCTCAAGGGTCAGAAAACGTTTTGAGTATACAAAGATATATAAACTTCGCATACAATTCCAATGCTAACTGACAAAAATACTGAAATATCTCAGTAATGCAACCACCTTGAGTGTTTAGAACCTATGATATTTAAATAGAAACTGATGCAAAGGAAAAAATAAGTTCTTTAAAGTTCTTACCACAATCATTTCTGAAGGCTCTAATACAAGACAATCACATCCTCTTTTTCCTCCAAACTGCTTACCAAAACTATAAAAACAGAAAAACAATTTCTTTAGGAAACTATAAATAAAGTTTATAATTATAGGAAAAAAACAACAAAAATAAAACCCTAGCTGTTAACCAAGAAATTCTGATCCTGTCACTTATCTAAACAAAATAAGATTTAAAATTCACATACACATACACGCACAAAATCTTTTCCCTTAATTGTCCACATGTAACAGATCTCAGCAAGTATGAAAAGTGTTTTTAAATGTCTATCTTAAACTACATCTTAAAAAATAACTTACAGAAAATAGTTGCCTACTTCTGGATGGTGGTACCAACTCTAACACAACTAGAACCACATAGAAAGATCATGAACCAAAACCTCCAGGTACACAAGGGATGAGCATGGATGCTAGTGAACCAGGCTCTCTTAAGCTAGAGGTGGCCTCCAGCATGAAGAGCCTGTTGGGGTACCATTTCTATCCCTTTCCCACACATCATCTTTCTCTTTCATGAAAAAAAAAATACATAAAAATTTCAAAAGATACTCGTCTAATCGCAAATTCTGGCCACCTCTAAACACGTGCTGAATTAAAAGAAAGTGTAATAAGAGATACAATGATGGTGTGTTTTAAAAGTGAATTTTTATAATCTTTTGTAAACAGTATTGTACAGATATAAAAACACCTTTAAAAAGTTCATATTTGGGGCCAGCAGGTGGCATGGTGGTTAAGGTGCTAGACTACCACATGGCTGACCACTGTTCAAGTCCTGGACTTGGTGGCTTGCTTTGTCACTTTCTTTTCCCCTCTCTCTCTCTCTCTCTCTCTGGTGAGTATGTGTGCCCTGTAGTGAATTTCAAAATAATAATAATAAAAAATATAATTTATAAAAAAAATTGCACATTCAAGTATACAAAGTAATATAGTTAAATACAAAGATGACTTACTAAATCAACATGCTAGAGCCACTATCTCTTGGAAAAAATTACAGCTGGAATAGTATCAAAAGAAAATGTGAGAGGGACCAGCAGTTAGTGTAATGGCTATGTCATTGGACTCCCATGTAGTCAACCACGGTTCGACTCCCGGACCTGGTGGCTTAAACTCATGTTGGGCACATGTACGTGCGTGCCCAAGATCCTGAAAGGAGAATGGAGGAGAAGGGATTGCGGCGTGGCCATCCCCACTGTGGGGGGTGATTTCTCACTTTCTCTCTCTCTGTCTCTTTGGTGAGTGCACGCGTCCTATAGCAAAAACCTCTCTTAAAAAAAAAAAATGTGAGAGGTGGTCCATGCTATTGGTTGAGGAAGCTGGATCTCCCCCTGATGGCCAATGTCAGTTCAAATCTCAGCCCCTGTGGCTTGAATTACACATTGGGCATGTGTGCACTGCACACTCGAAATCCCAACTGGATGGAGAAATGGAGAAGTGACTGCACCCATCATGGGGTGTTTTCTACCTTTCATTAGGCAAATGCACATACTCTCTGGCAATATATATATTAAAAAATGAGTATTTTTATATTCTTGGTCTGTGAGAAAAATTTCTAAGATAAAAAGAAAAAAAAAAAACTTAGCAATGACCAAGGAAACTGTATGTTTTAATTTTGAAAGATAAACTGAATTTACAAAAAAGATATTTAACAATCTACTTGCCAATCATATGAAGCACGAAAAGTTTTAACTTTTGTAATATGCAGAATACACTTAAAAGAATCTACAAAGCAACCTAAAATATTACAGTATTTGAAAGTTTAGTGCCAATTATAAAATATAGATATTACCCAAAAATAATCAGATGGGAAAAAATCCTACATGCAAACAGAAAATAAAATGACAAAAAATGAACCTGAAGGATTGTAATACAGCAAAGATCATCAAAAATTCCTATTTTTGTTGGGGCCCGCAGGGGGCGTGGTGGTTAAGGTGCTGGACACTCTCACATGGCCAACTACAGTTTGAGTCCTGGACCTGGTGGCTTGCTTTCTCACTTTCTGTCTCTCCCTGGTCAAATTAAAATAAATGAATGAATTGTTGTTTAACTTGGAAGCCTGTTTTCCTTGCAAACTCAAATCTGTGAGCTTGATACCAAGTCCAGGTATATAACATTCCTATCGGAAGCCATACTTATATTTTCTTGTAAAGTGCTTTTGAATTAATAAAATATTAGCATAATTGTGTAATAGTCAGTTGAACCCACTGTTAACCATTGTTCTTATCCCATGGAAGGCAGTTGGTTTTACAGTTCTTGTTTTCTAAGAAACACAAATCAGGCACTATGGATTAGTCTTTTGAGGAGAAGGGAATAATTTGGTTGTTACCTAGGTAATTGTTAATAAGTTACATTTTTATAGGAGTAGAAGCCAGTTCAGGGTCCATGTGCTTAGTGACCATTTTAATTAAAATGCAGCAGCAACCTGGTACATTGTAACCCAAAAGTAAACTGCCATTAAAAAATGGCTTTTATCGTTAGCATGAAAACTTTCCACAAAGTTTTAAAAATTGCTTCCATCTTATAATTTGAGATATTGCATGGAGAATTCTAAATTAATCCATCATGATGTAAAATTCACAATATGGTTCAAATGTAATAGTGCAGAATTGAATATGGAGGCATGCATAACCTTCCTCTTAGAAGTTGAGAAAGTTGTAATTCAAACTTTTGTGCAATTAGATTAAATCATAATGTAACAGTAAAAAAAATAAAAATAAATGAATGAATAAATAAAACAAATAACTTTAAAAATTCCTATTTTTGTCTGTCTTTCCTTTCCCACTCACATCTTTCTCTTTTAAAGGAAAAAAATCACAAAATTTTATCAATGAATTAGAAATAAAACTTAAATACAGTAACATACAATATACTTTTACAGAAATGTTAATACTATAAAAATGTCGATTTTCCAGAGAATACAAGGGAGATCTGCACAAAGTTCATGGAAAATATATATTGTGAAAAAAATATAAATGAATTTCCAAAAATTTTTTCAATCAAAATAAACTCGTACTTTAATTCCATTTCCCATAAAGTTTATGAAATCCTCTCATATAAAGTTAAACACAAACAGTATGCAACAATTTTCTAATAAAATCCAAATAAAATTAAAAAAAAAAAAAAAGGAAAAACAAAACTCTTTTGTTTTCTTAAGTAGAAAACTGTACTTTTTGTTTCCCCAAACTCATTGATCACCTAATTTGTTAAAAAAAAAAACCAGATTTGTGAAAGTTTTCTTTTATATAAAATGGATTTATCCACTCCCCCCAAAAAAAGTAGCAAAACCAGGAAAGTGATATAAAATAATCATTTTGAGGCACTAGAAGGTGAGCGGAACAGAATTATGATTCCTGAGAAAATAAAAACCTAAGATGACAACTCTGAAATCCCATTTTACTACCTATAGTCTCTTCGCTACAATCCCCAGAAGCGCTTACAATCTAACAGAGGTGAAAATCTGTGGAGTTGAAGAGGCAGAGAGAGAGTTTGAAGGTAAGGATGATGGGCAAAAATGCTTAGATTCTGTAGGCCAAGGATCAGAAAGGAGGGAGAACGGAGAGAGGGAAGAACAAACAAGAATGTTCACAAAAGTGTTCATGACACTGTGCATGTGTGGGCACACATACGCATTTCAGAGATTCTCAGAAAGGTTCTCCTTGGTCTTGGATGAGGATGAGTACTGTGAATATGTGAAAACAAAAACAGTACAAAGCCAAAAAGAAAAAAGGTATTAAAAAAAAACAAGAAAATATAATCCATAACCAACAGGAAAACCAATCACTAAAACAAACCCAAAATTATCAGAATGGAACCAATAAAGATATTAAAATAGCTATTTCTAAGTATGTTCTAAAAGTTAAAGAAAATAGAAATCTGAACACAATAAAGAAACAAAAGATTTAAAAAGACTAGCTACTAGTCAAATTAGTTTACAAATTCAATGCAATTCCTATTAAATTACCAGTGATATTTGTCACAGAGCTAGAAGAAACAATCATAAAATTTGGAATTATAGAAGACTCTGTATTGGAACCAGCAGTTGGCATAATGGCTATGTCGCTAGACTCCCATATAGTCGACCGCGGTTTGAGTCCCGGACCCAGTGGCTTAAACTCACGCCAGGCACGTGTGTGTGCGTGTGCCCAAGACCCAAGAGGAGAATGGATTGTGGCATGGCCATCTCCCCTGGGGGGTGATTTCTCACTTTCTGTCTCTCTGTCTTTCCAGCGAGTACACGCACCCTATAGCAAAAACCCCTTCAAATGAAAAAAAGGGACCCTGTATCACCAAGCAATACAGCAATACTAAGCCAAAAGAATGAAAAAATGAAAGTACCATGCTATCCAGTCTCAAAATAATACAAAGCTGTGATAAGCAAACAGCATAGTACTGACACATAAACAGACATACAGACCAACAGAACAGAACAGACAATCCAGAAATAACCCTAAAACATAAAGCCAAGATAATGGGCACAAGCAATCTAGCGAAGAAGTTTTTTCTGCAAATAGTGCTGGGAAAATTGGATATCCATCTGGAGAAAAAATAAAACTAGACGCCTATCTCGCCCTATGGCAAAAATCTAAAAAGACAAAACAAAACAACAAATAAGTGCTGCTGAGGTTGGGGTGAAAAGGGAACCCCTGTTGGTGGGCATGTTAATTAGCAAGAAATCAACTCAAGAGAAATAAAATATTTAAATATAAAGCCCCAAACTATAAAACTACTTATGAAAGGAGCCAGCAGGTGGCATAGTGGCCAGGCCACTGACCTCCCACATGGCTGCCGACCATGGTTCAGGTACCAGATCCAGTGGCTTAAAACTCACACCAAGTGTGTATGCATATCCAAAACCCTGAGAGGAGAATCGAAGAGAAGGGACTGTGGTGTGGCCATACCCTCCGGCGAGGGTGATTTCTTACTTTTCCTCTATCTCTCTAGTGAGAACCATACCCTATAGCAAAAAATCTTAGGAATAAATAAATATTAAAAGTAATTACAAAAACCTCTACTTGTGAAAAATACAGGGGAAACACCTGAAAA